ACACCTGTTGAATTAGACTCCAAAATTAAACAAGTTGAGGATGTTATGTTGCAAATTTACAATACGTATGCAAGCGATATTGCTAGTTCTAGTTCTACAATTGGCAATGTTTCTTCGGTGTTACAAAGTGATTCGATTAATTCACAAAGTTATGATTGCATGCTTGCATTTACTGATTTTGTTCTTTCATCTGGTTCCATTCAACCATCAAAATCAGATTTACAAGTCTATCTCGAAGAGGGTCTTTTTTTGGCCAATACTGAACTTTTTGATATTCTTGATTGGTGGAAGTTGAACACTCTCAAGTATCCTTGCTTATCAAAAATGGCAAGAGATATATTATCGATTCCAATAACAACAGTTACCTCTGAATCTGCATTTAGTACTGGTGGAAGAGTACTAAATGACTACAGAAGTTCACTCTCATCAAAAACAGTGAGTGCATTAATATGCTCGTCTAGTTGGATTAGATCTTCAACGACTCATTTTAAAACACCTATGGTAACTCTCTCAATAATTAGCTTCTATGGTATATGTTCTTTTCCATCTCAAAACTGATATTGATATATCTTTTGTACCAGCAAGAATTAATGGAAGAGGAACAACTTGAAGTGGCTTTACCCGAGTAAATAGAGGGGAAGGAGGAAATGATGTTTGCTGAATTGTTGCCCCGTATTATTAGCATTTTATGTCCAATTGCTGAACTATAACTTTATGTTGAGCTGATTTTTATCCTGTTTTCTAGCTGAACCATAATTTCTACAATTCCATGCATTTAACATTTTTATTCTACTAGTTTTTTGAATTCTATCCAAGCTGGGAAGGCAACAGTGGTTGTTTTTTTGTTGGAAAGTTTACTTGCATACCACATTAGAAACTTGACATTTGCATGTGGGCTGGCAGTGGCAGGGATGGCAGGACTGCACCTGCACATTATTTTTATACTTGCATTTACATATATGTCATCTAAAGTTTGACATTTACATGTATATCACTTTTAAGGTAACAAATCTATGCATAAAAATGCATATTTCGGTTTGAGCTGAGCATTTATATATGAAAGTTTTGGTTTTAGATATGTATGGTATGCTTGTTTACAGGCCTACTTACCTATGCATGGAATTTTGTTTAGGGGTTCTGCCATCCTGAACTATTCCAAAGATTTCCATGTTATAAATTCTATTTGTTTAGGGGTTCTGCCATTCTTCAGCCTTACCTAAATACATATATTAATAATTGAGCAATTAGATGATTATTCTCACTCTTAATTTTGGAAGGCAATACAAGTTTGCAACCATTTTAGGAGAAGAATATGATTTTGCTCGCCGGAGGCCATCGTGCTCGACTCGTGAGTGGCTTGTTTTTCATATGAGTGGGTATATGTGCAAAATTGAAATGTTTGTGTTATATTTATAAATATACAAGTATTGAGTGGCATGTCCTTAAATATTTCATGAAATCATATATGAGATTGAATTTTTAGCTGAAAGTAATATGGGATTTGTACAAAATTTCATGTCCCATTTCATGTCCTTAAATATTTCATGAAATCATGAAATCATACATTGCGTTTCAGGGAATGCTAATTTGCTAGCAGATTGCGTTTGGATGACTTCATGATGAAGTTATGTTGGTCTGATTCTGGTAGTTTTATAACCCATAATATTTGTACAAAATTTGTACATAAGTTATGGCGTTTCAGGGAATTGATGAGAATTGTTTGAAAGAATTGGGGAGCATTTTATGGGCCATAATGTTCCTTCTGGCAATTCAAATTGTAACACTTAAACTAACATATAATTTCAGATTTTCCGTATATTCATCTCTTGCTTGCTGCTTCACTTATTGAACCGGATAAAGCTTATGATATGGGCTCTATTTTTCATTTAAGCTGCAGATTTTATAATGGTATGGGATCAATTATTCAGTTTGTTGCTCTATTAATAGCTGTAGATTTTTGGAGTTTATCAAATCTCCAAAAACCATTTTTGGAGTTAAGTTTCATAAATGGGCTCTATAAAAGAAAGGTGCTCTTTGTTCCTCACGATGGATTCATCGTTTCAATATTCTTTTGCTCTATGTGGGTCTGATTCTTGGAGTTTATCATTTCCTGGTGTTTCAGCTTGCGTTAATATGGTCTATTAAGCTTCTTGATGGCGTTTCAGGGAATTGATGAGAATTATTTGAAAGAATTGGGGAGCATTTTATAACCCATAATGTTCCTTCTGGCAATTCAAATTGCAACACTTAAACTAACATATGATTTCAGATTTTCAGTATATTCATCTCTTGCTTGCTGCTTCACTTATTGAACCGGATAAAGCTTATGATATGGGCTCTATTTTTCATTTAAGCTGCAGATTTTATAATGGTATGGGATCAATTATTCAGTTTGTTGCTCTATTAATAGCTGCAGATTTTTAAAGAGAAAAGTACTGTACGAGGATAAACTGTTTTGTGTTTCTATGTTTGTTCTATGAAGTTTTTGACATAAACTGTTTTGTGATAAACTGATATTTTTCTTTGTGTTTTTTAATGTGGTTTTACCATTAGTTTAAACTGTTTTGTGATAAAGAATCCTTTTGTTGTGCTGTACGAGGATAATGCCGATGCCTTATGGTTTTGCCACCAGGTTCCTCAAAAGCTCGCCATCAAAGTTGGAGAAGTATTTGAGATGCTTCAGCAGCACCAGTTCAATAGCTCGTGTCGGACTAGACATTTTCGTTATATTAGTTTTAGTTATTTGAGATTGAGTTGTATGTAGAGCATTCTTGTAAAAAAATTGTAATAAATTGTTATGATTTTATTTGTATTTTTTTTATTATTATTTTGTCGGACTAGACATTGTAATAAATGAGTTGTATTTAATTAT